CCAGTGCTCAAGAGGGTCACCGCAGGTTGGAAGCCAGCCTAGTTTATGCAGCAGTTTATATAACCAAGACCACAGAGCAAGACCCTGCCTCAAAAACAGAAAAATGTGCTGTAACCCTGGTGTCATTACACGCCTGTAACACCAGCACTCGGAGGGAGGCTGAGGCAGGGTGACCCTGAGTTTGAGGCCAGTTTGTGCTACCTATAGAGACCCTGTCTTCAAGAGACAAATAAACCACAGCATGTTTTGCATTTTCCGTGTGGTTTCCCAACTGCATAAGATTCAGGCTGCCATGACTTTCCGTCAGATGCCAGAATAAACTGAGGCCCAAGGAGTGGAAAGATCCTACGTAAGATCACGTTCGATTTGACTGAATAGCAGTCCACGTTCTTGACTTCGAAGAGGCATGAAAGCCAACAACTGTTTAAAAATAGTTTCATGTAGTGTAGCTCAGGGACCCAGAGTTAGAGGAAGGAACCCCCCCAGCTGTGGTAGTCTGCTCTCCCCTCCACTGATGCCCTAGAAACTCTGAGGAAAAGCAAGTGTATCCTCCTTGGGAGAGCTGCTCTCAGCCCAGGATCAAAGCGTTTATTGTCTGTGTAGGAGGAAGGAGAGAAGGCCCCACCACCACCGCCTCAGCCTCAGCCCCAGCCGCCACTGCCGCCTCCGCCTCCGCCGCCACCGCTCCCTCCTGAGGCAGAACGCCTCACGCCTATGGTCATGCCTGTGTCTGTCCCTGTCAAGCTTCTCCCACCCAAGCCCAGCTCTCAGGGGTTCGCCGACAGCGTCGCTGCCACCCCCTCGGCCAGAGACAAGCCAGCCAGCTCGATGTCGGACGACGAAATGCCTGTGCTCGTGAGGATGACCCTCTCCCCCCCTCACTCTCCCCAAGGGGCTGCCCCCTGTGCGCCTGCTGTGAGTCGCTGCGCTGCCACGCCTGCCTGGGGTGGGGACCTCTCTTTGCTTTCTTGGAGATGAGGACAGTGTTTCCAGTCACTGGCCTAGCCCGAGCTCAGACATCGTGTGGTCTCCCCCTCAGGGTCAACCTCTCCAGGCCACCTGCACTTAACCAGCCATTCCATACCTGTTACTCCAGGCTGATGGTGCCGATCCGACCCTCAGAATTGAGGTGTTCTCCTGTTTAAACATAAATGGCAGTCCTGCTGGCAGAAAGCAATGTAACCTTACCAGTTCGTAAGATACGAAAAGTATCTCTGCCCTGCATAATGAAAAGCTGTTACCCTGCCCTGGCCCTTTTCCCAAGACCTCCGGGTCTCCCCCGATCCAGCTGCCAAAGAGGTACCGCTCGGATGGCAGGCCCTCGGGGAAGTAGCCCCACCATCCGCTCACCTTGACAATAGCTTCAGCGTCACACCTCCTTAAATACCAGGGGACTCAAATCCATTACAGTTCCCATAGTACGCCCAATGAGAGCCATCCCCGTAAATCTCAGGAAAGCAAAGTGGTTTGTGTTTCTCACTCACTGTTAAGTTCTCTCTGCCTTTGTCACCCCCTTCTCTCTGCCTCTTCTCTCTACCCTGGGGATCTATGACCTCCGTGGATGGCCCTGTCAGACCTGTCCCTTCCCACACAGTAGTATGTTGGGTCGTAGGTGTCCTTGGAGGATGAGTGGCCCCTGGGAATCTAGAAGACATGAGGGTAGGGTTGAAACATCCTGAAAGAACTGGTTTGGGTTCTTGTGTGACATTGAGGCTCAGGAGAAAAGAGACTGAGGGACAGCCCCCATATTCTGGTCAGAGAGGGCTAGCAGTCGGCAAAGACAAAAAACTGTATCTACACACAGACTTGCGCACGCGCACACACGCACGCACGCACGCCCTTGCCTGGGGAAGTCATGAGATTTGGTGTGATAGGCACCGTGTCTACCCTGGATTGTAGCCACCCACCTCATTCAGGGCAGTGAGAGGTGAGAAACCTGTGTCCTGGAAACACGCATGTCTCCTGGCCAAATGATTCCTCTTACACATTTTCAGCTTTACTATGATTAAAACTTCTACTCGCTGTCCTTTATTTGGACCTTGATCTTCTCCCAGGCCGGCGACATACACCTGTATATATAGTGACTTATACAATACACTCTTCTCTGCCAACACTGAGCAACGGCATTAAGCCACAACTCCAAGTCTGGAAAGAATAGAGACTGTTACGCACTGGGCTGTGGAGCTAGGGTGCTCTGTGGGTGAGGTGCGTTAAATTCATTCTTGACTTTGCAACGTTTTAGATTTACTGTGGATTGGTGCACCTGTATACCGGGTGTGTGGGTCCAACAAGCAAGAGCGTGTGGTGGTGGTTTTCATTAGATCATTAGAGGCTGTGAGTAGGCTGAATCAGAAGGGGTGGGCTTGGTTTAATGCAGGGTGAGAGAGACCCCGTCTGTTGACAGGCAGGCTGGAGCAGAAGCATGTATGTGGATATAAAACAATGTGATACAAAAACAATTTTACAATCCAGGAAAGGGCTCTGAATTCAGCTCTGCAGTGAAGCCAACTTAAGACTGTCCCTGTTTCCCCCTCCGAGTCTCGGTTTCTCCCAGAATGTTGGACTTCCCAGTGGCCTTCTCCGTCCTCTGGGGGACAGAAGCTTTATAAAACACCGTGTTTGGCTCTGCCCCCCCCCAGAGTCCATTATTAAAATACTTAGTTCAGTTGTGACCCAAGTGTGACATTCTAGTGGCCCCTCTGGTCCGGGTGGCTCAGAGTGGCTTGCCTGGGAGATAATAAAGCATTATTTAGAGGTGGAAATATCAGAAAGAGCCTAAAAAGGACTTTTGACCCTGCGGTCGTGAAGTTTTGAGTTAAGATCACCAAGAGCCCCACATTACTTAGATGACCCCCTGAGTGAGCCAGGGACAGGACTTAAAAGTTTCCAGATTAGCTCCTCGGTTAAGAGCGGGATAGGAAAGCCGCGTTTTCCAAGCATTCTCCTCAGCATCCTCTCTGCTTCTCAGCCATGCTGGTCCCTCGGGGTCCCTTCCGGGCCCCGGGCTGAGAGGAAGCGAGGGAGGCTGGAGCACACTGGTCGAAGGAGACCCACGTTAGCGCTCAGGAACCTGGCCGCTGGCGCCCGAGCCCTTCTGCTCCCTCTTCCCCCACCTCCCACTCCCCAAGCGACCGGTCCTGGAGGCCGAGGGGGCTCCGTGGAGGGAAGGGAGCTGAGGGGCGCTGGGCAGGTCACATGGCCTAGAGGCGGCTGGTCATGTGACCGTGGAAGCCCTTCCCATCACCCCTTGCTGCTGTCTTCACTCGCCACTGTGGCTCTGGAGCTGCTGGGCACTGCAGCCGTGCCCGGGCGCCCCAGCCGCCCGGAGCCTCTCCGCAGGTATCCGCGGCTGCCCGCCACACCCAGCCGTTCTGGGTCCATGCCGGCCTCCGCCCCAGTCTGTTTCCGTCGGCTTTGGCATGCCCCGCTTCTCCACCTGACGTGCATGTGTGGAGTCCCCAGTGTCCCTGCCTCCGTGCGGCAGGCTCCCCACACGAGGCTCCGCTCCCCGCCGTGTCCCCGCCCCGGCGGACGGGAAGCTGGCGACCCGGGCGCCTTCGCGGGCCGTGACGGGGAGCGGCCCCTGCTCCATCTCCAGGAGAGCCCGTTCAAACGGCCTTGGGGACTGTGGGCCACCGTGCCCCGCACTCGGGTCGCCCCGAGAGGCGTGGGCGAGGCTGAGGAGCCCGTGCGAGGCGCGAACCTCCGCCTGCCCCTCAGCCTTGGGCCCTGCACCCCCGGAGGGACCGCTGCCTCCTGCTCGGGGCACTGTGGTCTGTCCCTGCAGGAGCATGGGGGGACCCGGGAGCCGCTCTGCTGGCTCCACTCAGAACAGAGGGCAAGGGAGCGATAAGCCAGAAGAAATTGAATCCGTTCCTTCTTGCCGACCCGCTCTACCCTTTGCAGACCCTTCCGATTTCCTTTCCGAACCAGCCCCAGGCCGATGTGGTGGGAGGGGATGAGCAGAAGGGAGACAGTCGCTCCCCCACCCCCTTAGAACTTTCGAGATCCCTGGCCAGATCTGTGGAAAGGGGCGACGGCGGCGAGGAGAGGCCGCTCTGTGCTAAGAAGGGGGCTAGTGGCTGGGACGTCCACGTTTGAGTCCCAACTATTCCTCTCCCTCTAGGAAATCCCCCGGAAACATCACCAAGCCGGCTCCGCAAAAGTTGAGGAGCCCCTCAAGGCCCTACCCGAGAAGAAGAAATTCCGGCACCGGCCTGAGCCGCTCTTCATCCCGCCGCCGCCTTCTTCCTATGCTCCCAACCCCACCTCTTACTCGGGGGCCACCCTGTACCAGAGCCAGCTGCGCTCGCCGCGCGTCCTCGGGGACCACCTGCTCCTGGACCCCGCCCGAGAGCTGCCCCCCTACACGCCGCCACCCATGCTGAGCCCGGTGCGCCAGGGCTCGGGGCTCTTCAGCAACGTCCTCATCTCGGGCCACGGCCCCGGCGTGCACCCCCAGCTGCCCCTCACGCCCCTCACGCCCACGCCACGCGTGCTGCTGTGCCGCTCCAGTGAGTCCTCCCTTCGCCCCCACTGTCACCCTGTCCGTTCTGGAAACTGCCCGAGTGCGCGGGGAGGCCTGCTTCCTTCGCCCGGCGGGCTAACCCCCGATTGCGTGTTCCAGATACTCTGCATGTGTTACACCTCGCTATGTGTTCCAGATACTCTGCATGCTGAGTGTTCTTTAATTCTCAGCGTCTCATTTAGTAGCTCGTGGGAATCGATCCGAGGAGAAAAGCATGTGAAGTATCTTTGGGACTAAAAAATGGGGGGACGTGCATCCTAAGACTGCCTTGGGTAGTCAGACAAGGTGCTTAAGATAAATATTTAATGCCGGACGTTGGTGGCGCACGCCTTTAATCCCAGCACTCGAGAGGCAGAGGCAGGCGGATCTCTGAGGCCAGCCTGGTCTACAAGAGCGAGTTCCAGGACAGCCTCCAAAGCCACAGAGAAACCCTGTCTCGAAAAACCAAACAAGACAAAACAAAACAAAAAGATAAATATTTAACATGTCAATGGGGGGGCCTTGGGTGTTATAGGCAAGAGTAAATCTTAATATTTAGCATGTTTTATAAAAAAATAACAGAACCAATCCTGACTCTGTAGGCAGCACACAGTGTAACTCCAACACCTCAGGAAACTGAGGCAGAAGGCTGGGGCAGCACAGGAAAACTCCATCTCCTCAGAGCTGGGGAGCACGGAAGGGAGGAGAGAGATCTTTGTAGCAGGCTTCTTTCTGGTTGCCTGGAAACCATGTAGCAGGACAACTTTCCCTCAGACTGTGTGAGAAACAGTTATCTTGCTCCCGTAGTCCCAAGCACTGGGTAGGCTGTGGTATAAAGCTGGGGTCAGGAAGTTCAAAACCAAACTGAGCTAAAGATCAAGACCCTTGTCGGGGGCTGAAGGAGGAGGAGAAGAGAAAGAAACAGGAAACCCCACGTATCCATCCAATCCTCTGGAACTTGGTTTGGGTTGGCTAGGAAAGAGCCTTGTTATTGCCGATTGGCTAATTACTGGTCAGCTGATCGCTCATTGTTCTCATGTCTTAGGAAGTTTTCTTTGTTGGCCAGTAAACCCTAGTTTCTGTGTTTCAGGCAGCATCGATGGCAGCAATGTGACAGTCACCCCAGGACCTGGAGAGCAGACTGTGGATGTTGAACCGTAAGGAAAAGCCGATTATTCTTCAGATTAAGAAATGGTCTGGAAGCTTCTAGAAGGGCAGTTAGTACTTCTGTAGTCAGTAGCCACTGAGAGGGGAGAGTTGTGGAAATGGTAGGAACATGACTTCTCTTGAGTACTATTGTTTCCTCATAGCTGCTAGCATTTCAGAGTCTTCTTAGGACTAGTTCATATCCCCAGTGACACTGTGCCCCCCCTCAATTTTATGTGCATTACTGCTGGATCCCATGGAACTGGAGTTAGACAGTTGTGAGCGGCCATGTGGGTGCTGGGAATTGAACCTGGGTCCTCCTGAAGAGCAGTCAGTGCCCTTACCCCTGGGCCATCTCTCCAACCCCTTGAGGGGCTCTCTCTTGGAGGTGCTTAGGTAGAAGTCTTCCAAAGGGCTTGTTGAGTGTTTGTCTCATTCATGACCTAAAGGAGGTTCAGCACCCATACACAGTGGTGGCTTAGACGTTCTGAGACCTCCAGCTCTGGGTACCTGAAACCTGGGATAGTGCGTATAATCACTACAGTGCCTCCATCTGGTACCCGAGACATGTCTGTCTGGAACATCAAGACTGCTCCCGGCTGAGTAACAGGCAGCTGTCTTATTCAGTGCAGACACGATAGACACGGGGTTGTTCACACCTGAGGCAGGTAAAAGTGGGCTGGCTTGTCATTTCATCACAGTGCTTAAAATGGTGGAAGTAATTGTTTATTTCTGGATTTTCCATCTAATATTTACCAACATGAGTTGATCTCAGATAGCTGTCGATAGAGAGGCACTGCTTTACCATGGAAGAGAAAGTGGTTCATCTCATGAATGAACTTAGAAAAGGGGCCTCGTGATACAGAAATTTGTAGAGTCCAGAGTCAGAAAGCTTGAGTGGACACCATTCTGGTTTTGATCTGTACTAGGTCAGTTTCCTAACGCCTTCGTTGGTTCCTTGAATGGCAATCGTGATTGCTGCCAACCAACCATGATTACTGCCTTGTTCATATCACAGACCTTCGTGAGCTTAGATGACATAATATATGGGAAAGAGGTCTAGAAGGGATAAATACATAAATTTTTACATTGTTGCACACACGTGCCCACTTCCAGTTCTGTGTTCTAGGCAACTCCTCTCTTGGAATTAGCTGTCTTCCATTCCAGTTTCAGGGAGCTGAGACTCTCCAGGCAAACGACTGCCTTGCCCCTACCCCAGCCCCCAGCATTAAAGATGTCTGTACTAGTGACAAGGCCTGGACTTGGAGGGCCATGCCACGAGGAGATGCTCCGGCATCCTTCTTGTGGGAGGAACTGCTTTCCCATGTCTTCGGTTCCTGACTGTGGCCCCTGGTCTAGGCCATCACAGTCAAGACCCCACTGTTTTTCTTGTCCTTAAAGACGCATCAACATTGGCTTGAGATTCCAAGCAGAGATCCCAGAACTGCAAGATGTCTCCGCCCTGGCTCAGGACACACACAAGGCCACACTAGTGTGGAAGCCGTGGCCTGAGCTGGAAAACCAGGCCCTCCAGCAACAAGGTACGGGCACGCAGGAGGAGCGGGGTGGCTGCTCTAGCAGGGACGTCTGACTCCAGGATGGGTGTGGCTTTTCATGGCACAGAACCTGATGCAGTGACTTCTTACTCTCAACAGTGGAGAACCTTCTGAACCTGTGCTGTTCCAGTGCACTGCCAGGCGGAGGGACCAATTCTGAATTTGCTTTGCACTCTCTCTTTGAGGCCAAAGGTGATGTGATGGTAAGGAAACTAGAGAAGGGAGAGGCTTTGTGGGTGTGTCATCTCAGTGAGGAGGTCCAGACCTGAAAGCCTACAGAAAAAAGAAAATCTCCAGTTAGACCACAGCTGACATGGTTCTGAATGGAGGCTGGAGAGATGGCTCAGCAGTTAAAAGCACTGGCGCTCTTCCAGAGGTCCTGAGTTCAATTCCCAGCAATCACAAGGCCGCTCACAACCATTTTTAATGGGATCTGGTGCCCTCTTCTGGCATGCAGACATACATTTAAAAAAAATACATAAATTTAAAAATTTAAACAAAAACAGTATTTAGAACCATGAAGCCATTTTCCCTGTCAAAGCTGACCATCTGTCTAGTCAGCCTTCACCACTGACCAGATGAGTCCATCTAGCCTCAGTTTCCCTTTTATAGACGTACAGGGTTCCTCCTAGTACGAGAACCGGGTTTCTGCTTTTGGATTGTATGAAAATACAGAAAATAAGTAAACGTGCCAACACTTCAGGTGTGATTTAGAATGTTCCAGTCTGCCTTTTGTGGTTAGTGCTGCTCTTGAACTTCCAACATAACTGTGGGAAAATCCTAAGGTGCTCACGGTGATTCACCAGATGGCAGTGGGGCTCTGCGCTCTGGATCTTTCTCTTTTTTCCCTGTTTTTATTATCTGTAACTGCCTGTGTGAATGTCTGTTCACCTCATGGGCGGTGTCAGCGGAGGCCAGGAGAGGCCATCAGGCCCCTGGCCCTGGAAGTACAGGCTTGTGATCCAGCGTGGGGGTGCTGGGAACTGAACCCAGGTCCTCTGGAAGAGCAGCCGGTGCTCGTAACCGCTGAGCCACCTCTCTATCAAAGATTCTTGGTTTCTAAGCAGCTCCTTAGAGATTCTGAATAGCAAAATTCCCCTGCCTTGCTCAGCCCAAACCCATCCACTGTGAGAGCTGCTGCTGCTTTTTCGTAAGGAAACAAAAACAAGTTGGGGGCTTTTCCAGAGGACCCGGGTTGAGCCCTGGCAACCATGAAGCAGTTCACAACTGTCTGTTACTCCAGTTCCAGCACAATCCAAGTCTGCTTTCGGGGCCACATGGACACCAGGCACACTCATGATGTACAGACTTGCATGTAGACGAAATACACATACACATAAAATATAGATAAATCTTACACACACACACCTGGATTGGGTGGCGTGTACTTGTAATCCCAGCGCTGGAGAGGCAAGCACTGGCAAATCCTTGGGTTTCACTAGCCAGCTGGCCTAGTCACTAGTCTAGTGATCTCCAGGCCAGTGAGAGATGCTATCTCAATGTGAGCAGCACTTGAGGAATGATGGCAAGCTGACATGTGACCTCCACATGCCCACACACACACACACACACACTTGCTGAAGAAGGCAGATCTGAAGGGTTTCCTTGGTGACACTCTGGAAGGACAGTATGTGGCACACTTATTCCTAATACAGCTGTTTTCATTCAATGATGAGACCTATGGTTTGTCTGTGAAACAGTCACCACCCACCCACTCCTTCCTCTCAAGCTCCTCCCGAGAGACTCGGCCTCCACTCAGACACCTCACTTCTCTGAAGCAAACGTGTCTGAGGAAGCACTTGAGTCTCTGCTGCTGCTGTTTGCTCTGTCTTGCCACTAGCTTCAGGCATGAACTAATGGGTTGGGGGTTAGCGTTAAAATGTTGGGGCCTGCCGAGCATTGGTGGCGCACGCCTTTAATCCCAGCACTTGGGAGGCAGAGGCAGGCGGATCTCTGTGAGTTTGAGACCAGCCTTGTGTACAGAGTGAGTTCCAGGACAGCCTCCAAAACAATACAGAGAAACCCTGTCTCAGAAAAAAAAAAAAAAAAAGAAAAGAAAAAGAGTTGGGTCCTGTTGGAGCTGACCAGAGAGTAATTCTCATTTTCACCATCTGCCCTGGGTTTCTTTCCAGCCCCACTGCAGTGCTGGCCCTGCTCTCCCCTGGGGCAGATGGGTGCTCTTCCCCAGGACGCACACATGACTGACTTTTGCCTGTTCTCTCTGAATCTGCAGGCTACCCTGGAGATGCTGCTGCTGCGGAAGCCAGTCAGGTTAAAATGTCATCCTTTAGCAAATTACCACTATGCCGGTAGGTGGCCAGGAAGCCTGTGCCCTGTTGCTTCCCAAGCGTGGGCAGCACACACACTTGTGTCATTTGTGAACACATAGATAACACTGGGTCTATTAGGCCATCACTGCCAGGCATGTGTCAGTGTAAGCAGCTGCCCCTTGTGAATGCTTTAAGACCTGGGAGACGGTGCCCAGGGGCTGCCCACAGGGCAGACAACTATAGCAGCCCCCATGGCTTTGGAATCTTTAAAGGTAGGTTCAGGCTTTGATCCCTGAGGCTCTAGACTGTCTATGGACTTGAATTTTTCCCACTCAGAATGAAGTTTCATCCCATCCTTTACAGACTATTTGTGATGACTAGAGCCAGTGTATGTAGCTCAGTGTTGAAGCATCCTCTAGCTACTGGGATTCACATTCTACAGCTGTTTACTGGGTATAGAGGAGTGTACTGAGCACAGGTACCTAAGAGTCTGGAGTGGGTGTGGGCTGGAGATGTAACTCACTGCTTGCCTAGGGTATACAAGATCCTGGGTTCTATTCCCAGTACCAAAAAAAAAAAAAAAAAACTACCCCAAGGCTAGGATAAAAACTTCATTAGGTGAGTGTCTGGTGTGTGTGTGTGTAGTAGTAGTAGTAGTAGTTGTTGTTGTTGTAGAAAACACCTTTAGATTTAAATGGATTAAGAAGGAAATAGGTTGAAGAGCCTGGAGCCATGACTTGAGGGTTCCACTGACTATGGAAATCCATGCGTTCTGTTGTCTCCAGTCTCTCCTTAGTTCTCCATTTCACAGTGGCTGGGTCTTCCATTGCCCTTGATTTTTTTTTAAGGGTTTGTGTGTGTGTGTGTGTGTGTGAGAGAGAGAGAGAGAGTGAGAGAGAGAGAGTGAGAGAGAGAGAGAGTACAATCCCCAAAGAAGTCAGAAGAGGGCACCAGATCCCCAAAGCTCGAGTTGAAGCAATTTTGAGTCACCTGATGGGTGCCGTGAACCAAACTCCTGCCCTTTGCAAGAGCAGCGTACACCATGGACCACTGGTGTCTCTCCAGTCCCTGCCCCTTGGTTCTTAATCATTTGAGGGTGTCTTTGGTGCCTTAGGCAGGCCTCCCCTAGGTAGAGGCTTAATGCATGGTCTTAGGGATCTGATAGCACTATTTCCAGTCCGTCACCAGGCAACCAAACACAGCCCGAAAGTGAAGGTTTCTTTTTTTTTTTTTTTTTTTTTTTTTTTTGGTTTTACGAGACAAGGTTTCTCTGTATTGTTTTGGAGGCTGTCGGTCCAGCCTGGCCTCGAACTCACAGAGATCCTCCTGCCTCTGCCTCCCGAGTGCTGGGATTAAAGCCATGCGCCACCACCGCCCGGCTGAAGGTTTCTTTACAGGTACCGGTCACCCACCATTTGACTCTCCCTTCATCCTGTCCTCCACTCATGAGTCAGCTTTGACAGCTGTTGTCACAAGGTAGAAAGGCCTCAAAGCTGTTTAAGTAGTGAGCCCAAAGACACCTCCCTATGGGTGGATTCCAGCTGACAGCAGCTGGAAGAAAGTACAAGCTCAAAATGGACAATGAGATAAAGGCATCACATGACCAGAGGAGCCAGCGTCATTTCCTGCCTGTGTGGGTAGAAAGATGTGGGAGCCTCCAGGCTGCCCCGAGAACTGTTTCGTCTCCTCTTCATTTCCAGCGCCATCTGCTGTCCATTAAACCCCATCGGACCCTCCCAACCCCCTGGATCCTGTCCCAAACTTCTCTGCACGATGGGTGGGACTGTGGGCTGGCTAAAAGAAGCTCCCAGCCACTGGCAGAGAGACGCTGTGCCCTTGGCCTCAGGTGACACTGCCTAGCAGACCCTGGGGTTGGTCATAGCCAGCTGTGAGCACTTCGTCTAGGACAGGGTTCCTGGCCAGTTGTTCCCAGTATGGTAAACAAGTGCTATTTCATTTTTATGTGCATCGTGACGTGAAAAGAACTGGAAAGCCTTGGACTAGACCACACCCACCCCAGCCCGGAGCAAACAAAACAGGAAAATGTTACCAAGAACTTAAAATCTTCTGAAATACATGAGCTTTTTGGATTGCTATTTAATCCTCCCTGACTCCTTCCCCCTCAGGTAGCTCAAGAGAAACTCTTGCTTTGAAATTATTTCAGCCCTTGGAGAGAAGAACTGGATATTACCATCACCTACATCTTCCAGTCAGTTGCTTTCTTTCTGGAAGTGATTATAACCCAAGCCTCAGAGAATATTCTAGAGTTATGAGAGATGGGGCAGAAGATACGGTCCCTAGAGTCAGGCACAAGTCCATGCCTTTATCAAATCCTGGGAGACAGCTCTTTGTTCCATCCTATGTCCCAGTCACCGTGCCATACTCTGGCCCTTCTCCGAATCTGGATCCTACATGTCACTGAATTCTGTCCCACCATAGCCCTGACCTGCCTTGGTCTTTGTGCCCAGAGCGGTTCTGTCGCTCCCGTTGGACAGCCAGCCTTGTTAGAACACTTCTAGTTCTCCTTTGGCTTCCAGCTCTGAGACTGTGAACCGCCAGACTCCTGGGATTTCGCTTTAGGCTTCTAGTTACTGTTCTCATTTGGTCTCCATTGCTGTGATAAAGCACTAACCAGTACCAACAGAGGGGAGGAAGGGGTCTGTTTGACTTCTATCTTACATTCTGTCATTGAGGAAGGCTAAAGCAGGAACCAGGAAGTAGGAACTGAAGCAGATCGTGGTGGAATAGTCTGCTTAATCTGGTCGTGCTTACACAGTCCAGGCCCACCTCACCAGGGATAGCACCGTCCACAGATTGGGGCCCTCCTCCATCAATTAGCAATTAAAATGGCTCATGACATGGTCACAGGCCAATCCGATGGAGGCAATCTTGTGTCAAGTTGACCAAAAGCCAGCTGGGATATCTGGAGAAGGAAGTCAGATCCAGGCTCTGCCATGCCCTGGAGATAAGACAGACAGCAAAGCAGGGTTCCTGAGCCGAGAG